AACAACTACTGAGCCTGCGCTCTAGAGCCCACGAGCCACAACTACTGAGCCCACATGCTGCAACTACTGAAGCCCGCGTGCCTAGAGCCTGTGCTCCACAACAAGAGAAGCCACCGTGATGAGAAGCCTGCACACAGCAATGAAGAGTAGGCCCCGCTCACCGCAACTAGAGAAAGCCGGCACAGCAACGAAGACCCAACACAGCCATAAAGAAAAAAAAAAAGAACTTTGGATCAGGGACTTCCCTGGTGGCGCAGTGGTTAAAAATCTGCCTGCCAATGCAGGGGACACAGGTTTGAGCCCTGGTCTGGGAAGATCCCACATGCCACAGAGCAACTAAGCCTGTGCGCCACAACTACTGAGCCTGTGCTCTAGAGCCCACAAGCCACAACTACTGAAGCCCGTGCCCCTAGAGCCCATGCTCCACAACAAGAGAAGCCACCACAATGAGAAGCCCGCACACTGCAATGAAGACTAGCCCCCGCTCTCTGCGACTAGAGAAACCCCATGTGCAGCAACAAAGACCCAATGCAGCCAAAAATAAATAAATAAAAATTAATTAAAAAAAAAAAAAAAAAGAAGAACACTGGATCAGTAGGACAGGAGAACAGCCAGGAATCAGAGTGACCTACCTCTAGCTGGTAAATGGCTGCAGTTCCTACCCTTATATTGCAGGGCAAGAGTAAAAGCCATGATTGCAACCAGACTGCCTGGGTTCAATACTGACTCTACACTTACAGCTTTGTGACCTTGGCAAACTCTTTAACCTGGTTGTGTTCAATTTCCTCATCTGTAAAATGGGCACAGCAATAGCACTTACTTTAGAGGAATGTTGCAAGGATTAAATGTGTTAATCTCTGTGTAGCCCTTAGAACAGAGTCAGGCACATCATAATCTCTTACTATGTCTGTGAGAATCTTTCTGTTTTGTAAATAAATTCATTTGCATCTTTTTTTTTTTTAGATTCCACATATAAGCGATGTCATATGGTATTTGTCTTTGTCTGGCTTACTTCGCTCAGTATGATGATCTCTACGTCCATCATGTTGCTGCAAATGGCGTTATTTCATTCTTTTTTATGGCTGAGTAATATTCCACTGTATGTATGTACCACATCTTCTTTATCCATTCATCTGTCGATGGACATTTAGGTTGCTTCCATGTCTTGGCTATTGTAAATAGTGCTGCATGTATATTTTCAAATTATTGAAATATCTTGAAATTATTTCAAAATATTTTCAAATTATAGTTTTCTCTGGATGTATGCCCAAGAGCGGGATTGCAGGATCATATGGTAAACTCAAACTCACAGACATAGAAAACAAACTTATGGTTACCAAAAGGGAAAGGGGAGGGGAGAGATGAGTTAGGCGGTTGGGATTAACAGATACACACTACTATATATAAAAGAGAGACCCAACAAGGACCTACTGTATAGCACAGGGAACTATACTCAATACTTCATAATAACCCCTATAAGGAAAAAGAATCTAAAAAAGAATATATATATATATATACACACACACACACGTATAACTGAATCACTGTGCTGTACACCTGAAACTAAGATATTGTAAATCAACTAAACTTCAATTTTTAAAAAATTTTAAAAATTAAAAAAATAAATCTCTTACTGCTGTTAGCTGCTGTTATTTTATTAATGCTGTTGCTGTGACTGACACAAGACATTTGTAACTAGTTGGATATGTCTGAAGTGCATGTCTTTCAACTTCAGTTGAAATCTTCTCTATACAGTATCTTACGTTATTTCCTTAGAAGATTTCTGTTTATTAACCTTGTTGGACCTTAACCATATCCAGATTACATTCCCCAAGCCAATATCTGGACAGGGACATGCTATTGGGTCTATCTGGCCAGAACTGACATTGTCTAGATTTAATACACCCCGCCTAGGAATGAAACTTGTTTTTAGAATAAAGAATCGCTGGTTCAGTGTCACTGGCACATCACCCATCCATAGTGTGCTTCTTGTGCTTCTGTTTGTTCAGCTTGCTGATGAGAACTGCAGCCAAATTATCCCAGAGGCTTGAGTGCAAATGTAAGTCATAAAACTCAAGCTGAAGTCTGCCTATGCAAGTGAAAAAAAATATCGCCTCTAGTGTTAGAATAATAAATAATCAAGCAGCTTGTTTATCCTCTCTGGCATTAGAACTATTCGTATCCTGGGGAGGAGGGAGGAAAGTGCCTTAGATGAGCAAAGTCCTTCGGAACATGTGTCTGAACTCGAGTGTGAAGACGGTATCTAGAGATATTTGCTCTGTTAAGTCTCTGTGTTATTATACTTGTGTTTGCAGGTGGTGGAGCGGTGGCTCCTATTTCCCCTTCTGCGCTAAAATTCAGGCTTGCTGAAGGTCAGTGCTGTGCGTTGTCCGCTCACAGCTCCTGGAGACAGTAGAACACCTCTCAGCCTTCCCAGTGCCTCTCTGTGTCCAACTGGTGGGGACAGAGGCCAAGGCAGGAACCCTGTGCATCCAAGTCAGCCCAGGAGGGGGGTCACGTCTCCCTCTACCCCCTGAAACCAATTTAGCTGAGTTCTTAGGAGTGAAGGTACTATGGAAAACCTAAAAATAAAAACTGTGTACACAACACAGTTCCTGGGAAAGATGCAAATTAGAAAATGAAAACCTCCGGTTGTAGAGGGTTCTATTGCTGGGGAGACCACAGACCATTTATGGGACCATCAAATCTTTATAGCTTCCGTTTCACAAGAATGCCAACAACGAGGAAACCAAAGATTCTGAAATACAAAACACCACCACCAGCCAACAAAACCCCAAAAAACACTTACAGTCAGGTCTAAAGCCATCACTTCTAGGTGTTCTCTTCACCAACAAACTACCATTAAAAGAAAAAAAAAAAAGCTTTAGTGATCCAGATGAAATGTTTGTGAATTGCAAATAGAATTGAACATCATTAAAATATATATTTGAAACGTGCATTTTTTTCCCTCGGGCACATGGGGCATTAGCACAGCCCTCAAATTCCCTCCTGCGGCACCTCATCAGTGAGATTCTGGATAAAAGGAAGGGAGAGGGGCGCAGGCACTGGGGCTCTGCCAGCTGCTCCTGGAAACAACTAACAGAGGCATCGGAAAGAGGGGCTCAGACACACAGCAAAGCATGTCCTCTTCCCTTTCCTCTCTCTCAGGCTAGCGGTCAAATGGGCTGTTTGTTCAGTACGGTCAAACCACAACACTCCAGGGCAAAGGGTCAGTGGTTTGGAATTGACTGCACTCATTGGAAACAGCTTCCTGTGTTAGCATCCCTCTCGTGCTGGTCTGGAAAGACAGAAACAGCGATGATGTGAACGTGGCACTCACCTGGCTACCTTAATCCTGTTGGGCTTGTATTTCTCTATGCTACCGAGCAATGCTTTCATGGTCCTCCCGGTTCCGACAACATCCTTTGCAAAGACGACAGACAAATTCAACCAAATGCCTTTGGGCTGCATTAAAAGGCATTTCATCCAGACAGATGATTCTAGTCCTTATTAATAATGCATCATAATTAGAACTGCCATCAAATTAGAGTAAAAGTAGGAGGCAGAGCCGGTTATATTTTTTAGACAGGTGCTTCTTTCTGGAAGCTGGGTTTGGGGGGGGGATATATTGGTGACTATTTCCTCCTAGAATCCTTGAGCTGTGTTGAAAGGCTAAGTTCAGCCTCTGGAAAGCACGTGGGGCTCTTTATTGAGTGCATTTGGATTCGTGCAGGCGCATTCAAGGACTAAATTTGGCCCTGAGGTTATGTCACACAACACAGGACGCATGAATTTTCATGGACTTGGGATGTACATCTGCATACGCCGAATGGATAAACGCCTCCCCCCTTGCTCTCCTCACTTAATAGGAGATTCTATGGCTGGGAAGTGAGATGTGTCTGGACAGCAGCTGGTGACAGCCTGTGAGTTCTGAGGGTGCGAGGCTGCCGTGAGCTGAGGCTCATCCCCGCTGATGAGCCGCTGCATAATTAGGAGTAGAATGGGCAGCCGGAATGGATTGTCCGTGGGGCAGAAATCAGCTGTCAGGAGCTGATTATCAAAACAACGGGTCTGAATTTAGCCAGGGATGGGCAATGCGTTTGGCTAGAGGGTCTACTTCATGGGTTACGTCTGAGGCAGAACTGCAGATATGTGTGGCACACACAGGCAATTGTAACCAAAGCTTGAGAACAGCTTCCCTGAATTTTTGCCAGCTGATAAGACAGGCCTGCTGGGCTCCAGGACCCGTTCTTTCTTTCTTCTTTTTATTTTTTAAACATAAAAACAAATTAAATTAAATTATAGATTTCCCCTGGATAGCACATTTTTAGGTTAATTCTATTTATGATTTGGATGCCAAAGGGAGAATTATTCCCAGTCATTAGAGGACATTAGCAAGAACACTGAATTAAGGGTGAAGAGAATTCTAACCTTGGTTTTACTATTAAAAAATTTTGGTTCTGTGGGCTAGTTTTCTCTTCTGTGAAAATGTCTGATTCACAAATAGGTATAAGAACCAATTTAGACATGGGTGGCATTAGATATAAAACTGGATAAAGTACCATGCAACTATTATTGCAAAGCTTCCATTCTCAGTTATTTCAAGCCAGTGATTCCAGTTGACTCCTATTCTGTAAATCTGAAGAACCCTAAACACAGTGGGAATTCAATAAATCCTTGGCCAGTTTGATAACAGGTTCTATACTTCGAAACTCACCATTGGATTCTTTCAGCTTCCAAGTATGGATAAAGAAAAGTCAGCTTACCTCGACAATGAGGACATTCTGAAATAAAAAAACAAGGCACAACAAAAAACACAACTATTTAGAATATGAGGCAAATCTGGCTCATAAGATAAACACACAGTTTGCTGAGAGTTAGAATTTCACAATCAGCTTAGCTGGTCCTCTGCCGTCCATCTAACCCAAATGTTTGGAGGTAATCTAGGCTTCCAGATTCATTTTAACAGTCCTTCTGGAATTACTGAGTGCTGCAATATTGGTGTCTGTACAGGTACAGTCTTTTTATTCATTAAATCCATTAAATAATCTTAATTTTATCATTAAAATATAAGATTATTTTGTCGTTTTTAAAATAGGTCATGCCCACGGTATCCCCCGCGGATCACACTGACAGAGAAGTCCCCTTGGTATCCTGAACGCATTTGCTATATTCTTAACCATCAACCCATCACAACTAGTTAGGGTGTGCATTTTTAGTTTGATTGAGGCTTATCAACCATGCCTATCAACCAACCGGAATACTGGGAGAATACTTGGTTAATTTAATGTCCTAGTTCACAGTCTCTTTTTGTTTCAATCTTATAATGAAAACGCTGTTTAAACTGTTAGTCTGCATTCTTGCCTAATTAAATAAAGTGCACTGCACGTAATTAAATCTGTTTTTTTGAAAGCTCAGAGCCTTGCAAAACAAGAGTCATCCTTGAAGTGTATAATGGTGGCTGGGAAGTGGGATTTGTATAGGCACAAATCCAGAGATATAGTGTCAAAATTAATTAAATACATTTAAAAAATCAAGGTAATGCATACACATGATGAAAATCAAATAGAAAAGTCTAAAGATTTTCTAGATGTTGATGCGTTTCTAACTGTTAACAGTATTTAAAAATGCTTACGTATTTTATATTAAAGTTATCATGACATTGCACATTACGCATAGCCTAAGTATTAGCACCTCTAACAAAAATGGCAATAATTTATTTCTTTTTTCATTTTTTCCATTTGATCGAGATATAATTGACATACTCCACTATGTTAGTTTAAGGTGTGCAGCACGGCGGTTTGACTTAGATATACTGTGAAATGATTACTGCAATAAATTTAGTCAGCAGCCATCCTCTCACGTAGATACGATACAAACAAGAAGCAAAAGAAGCAAAACCATCTTTTCTTTGTGATGAGGAGTCTTAGGGTTTACTCTTTTAATAACTTTTACATATACCGCTCAGTAGCGTTAACTAGAGTTACCATGCTGTATGCTACATCTCTAGACTTATCTGACTTACAGCTGGAAGTTCGTGCTTTTTGACCGGCTTCCCCGGGCCCACACCCTGCCTCTGGTAACCACAGATCTGACCTTTCTTCCTGTGAGTTTGGCTTTTGTCTTGTTTTATTTTGTTTTAGATTCCACATATAGGTAAGATGACACAGTATTTGTTTTTCTCTGTCCAACCTATTTCACTTAGCGTAACGTCTTCAAGGTCCATCCATGTTGTTGAAAACGGCAGGATTTCCTTCGGTTTTTTTTAATGGCTTAGTAACATTCCACTGTATATGTATACCACACTTCTTTATTCGACAATAATTTCTCTTTTAAAAATCAATTATTTATTATTATTTTAAAATTATTTATTTTTGGCTGCATTGGGTCTTCGTTGCTGTGCGCGGGCTTTCTCTAGTTGTGGCGAGCAGGGGCTACTCTTCACGGCCGTGCGCGGGCCTCTCATTGCGGTGGCTTCTCTTGTTGCGGAGCACGGGCTCTAGGTGCACGGGCTTCAGTAGTTGTGGCACATGGACTCATGTAGTGTGGCTCGTGGGCTCTAGAGCACAGGCTCAGTAGTTGTGGCGCATGGGCTTAGTTGCTCCGCAGCATGGGGGATCTTCCCGGACTAGGGCTCGAACCCGTGTCCCCTGCATTGGCAGGCGGATTCTTAACCGCTGCACCACCAGGGAAACCCCTCGACAATAATTTCTTAATATCATATAAACCTAGTACATATTTAAATTTTCCCAGTTGTCCTTCAGATGGCTTTTGTTGTAGTTGGTTTGTCTAATCTAAGACCATGCACTGGATCTTTAATCTCTTTTCATTTAGAATAGTCTGTAACAATACAAAGGACTTTCTGAGTTCTGCAGAGTACTAAAAAAGTAAAATTATTTAGCAGGCTCCTAAATGATGGGCATGGGAATACGAGTATAGAAAAACCACCTGCTCTTGAAAGGGAACTATGCAGAAAACTGGAGTTCTTTAGTGAGTTCTACAGAGCAGTCATTGCATATATATTTATTTTCCTGTAGAGAACATCAACAGTGTTTTCAAACTCTTTCATTAGTGGTATATGGATTGACTCCTGGATTTTTAGTGGCCTGCCTGTTGTGTGAAAAGCTCACCTCCAAATACAGCAATGCTTTTAGTACCTTTGGAAGATTGGCTCTGCCTTGCAAAACCCTCCTTGAGTAGAGAGACAGTGACTACCCCAACTTTGGAAGCATTTTCAGTATTGTCCAAGAGAACTAATCTCTTTATACTTTAATGGACCAAGATTAGCTCCACAAGCTAAGAGACAACGACTAACTCATCTTTATATGATCAGCACGTAAACATGGAGACTGGTATGTAGTCGGGGCTCAGAAAACTGCCCATGGAACAAATCAACAATTCCGACCTTCTTTCTTTCTCTAGTTCATTATACTTTTGACACATCCCCTCCATTTTTCTCCTTAAAGATGTATAATCCCTCCTTAACTGAGCTATTATTAATGTCTATTGCTTTTAATTTTCCTTTAAGAAATCTTCTAAAATCCCTATTTTCTTGACTGGGCAACCTTGGGAATTTTCCAGAACATACTGTGCCTCCCTTAAACACTTCCAATCTGCTAACTCTAATCACTGAATCTGAGATGTTCACCAGCCCCCATCTTAGTCATCTCATCACACCGAGCTCACTTCCTCCCAGAAAGCCAGTAAAATCTGTAGCTTGGGAACCGCAGGCAAAAATCCTATGGGGACTCTCCAGAGTGTGTCCTTTCTTTGCTATTGCATGATCCTGATCGAAGCTAATCCCATCGGGTTTCCTAAAGAAAAAAAGAAAGGAAGAAAGAGAAGAAGAAAAGAAAGAAGGAAAGAGTTATGCAAATCTAAATGGTTTTCTTAAATAGGTTATTCCTTTCAGTCTTTCAAAATGCAAAATGATCAGCACACCACGGTCTAATCGGCAGCAATGTATTTTTGCGGCTGTGGTCACACCCAGCAGAGGGATGATGGCAGGAATGATGGGGAGCTGAGCGTGGATGCTGAGTGTGCGCACGAGTGTGACTATAAACCCCATGGAGAAAGGCATGCAGTCCAGCGTTTCACTTGATGTGATAATTCACAGAATTGCCAGAATCATCAGTCGGTGGGCATTTCCGTTGCTGTTCTCAGTCTAGTCAGATGCAATTTAAAAGGAATGATTTAAACAGTTAAGGCGGCCAAGGAGGAAACGCTGGCAGGTTCCGATGCTTCACTCTGGCGTTTGGTTAGAAACTTATTCGGGGTGGGGTGGCACGTCTCCTGAAATCTTGCACTTAACCTACACATCTGTGTTTTTCCACTGCTGGATTTGCGCCTGTTTCCATGCGTTTGGTTTTATTCCACCCTTTCAGAGATTTCTCTTGAACATGAATAAAATCGTCTTGCTTTGATGGATACACACATTTTATGAAGTGCCAGGATTAAATCAACTTTGAAAAAAATCAGCCAGAGAGCGCATTGTGCAGACAGCTTAAACACACCAAGTGAAATGCTTTTAATGCTGTGAGCTGAAGGGGCCACTGAACTGAATCATTGAGGGCTCCCTGTATTCAACTGCCGTGACCTACTTAGAACCATGACGCAGCCAGCCTTTCTTGGGAGTTTTCTTCCTTTTGCTTTAAAAAAAAGAAGGGAGGGAGGGAGGGAGGAAGGAAGGAAGGGAGGGAGGGAGG